GTAACAGCATTTAGGAGTTTCAATTTTCATCAATCGAAAATCCCTTTATAAAATCCTTGCATATTTTTCAAATTGATTGTAAATATAAAAACTATATCCGGAATTCTCGAGCCATTGAACACATAAGTACTTCAATTTTGCTTTCATACAAACAATGATACATAGAAAGAAAAGAAGAAAAGTTTCTTAATCAAGAAGGATGAACATATTAAAAACTAATAAAATTAACAACAAGAAAAGAACATGTATGGGTAGAGGAAGCATGTTAATATGGGCCTAAGAGAAAGCTCAGTATTCATTTATAACTTTAAGACAAAAATAATTCACAGTCATCATCTTTAGGTAATCCACACTAGAAACAATTATCCAATATATGATTCATTCATAGTACGTGATAATTTTTTTTTTTTTTTTGTCAACAAAGTTATTTCATTCATTTAGAAAGTATAAAATGAAAGAATTAAGCATCCTCCAACATTACAACATAATTGAAATGCAGTAAAACATAGAACCGATAGATCATCGCAGAAGATGATGGACAGCGGATCCAAAGTATGTCTCGGATGCGTCAAGAAGGACTTCGCAGCAAAGCCGGAAAGTCTAAAGTTGGTCACTTTCCAATGTGACTTTGAAAGTCCCGGCATAAAGCTCGGGAATTCGACCACTCTCTAGGAGAGGGAAGAAAATACGATCAGTCTCCAAAAGATGGAAAAAAGTGGAATTGAACTCTTCCACCGGTGGAATAAATTACAGGATTTGAGAATTCAGAAAACTTTGATCTTCTCTCAACAGAGAAGATATCGGGTTTAGACACTATCCATGATACATCCATGCTAAAACCAGTAAGCACACCAAAGTTAGAAGCAAAACATGACATGCGCTTTGGATATATGGCAAATGGGCTTGATGGGCCAAGAAACCCAATACTTGAAAAGGGCCAAGCCCAAAATTTTGATGTCTCGTGACGGAGGGGACTCGGGAAAGCAAAACGGAAGCTCGTCCTCCGGGGGTTTCGGCTTATTAATACCCGCACTCTAGGGAAGTGCGAAATTATTTACCCACTTTGTCAAAGAGTGCATATTTCTACCCAGACTCTATATAATATACTTTTTCGTACCCAAACTAATTAAATTAGGTATATTTATACCTCAGAGCTTACGGTGTTAATGTCTCCGTTATGGGTGCTGAGTGTGTTGCTTAGTCACTAAAACATATATAACAACTCAAATTTATGTTTTAAATTTTTTTTTCTCATCTTAAAAGAAACGACATCG